TTGAACCATGAAAAGATGATCCAAATGAGGAAGACGATGAATAGTGTCTTTTTGATTTTTATAGTTAAATGGTTAAATTATAAAAACTCCTCTATACTTACATAGGCTAAATTACAAAAAAACACCCCCACCTATTTGTATTTATCAAAATTCCCGCAACATTTGTTTCCCTTTTGAACCAACCCCCTTACGGTGTAATTTTTTATGGAGTCTTTTTTATTAAAGAGAATAATCCCCGAAAAATATCGATTATACCCCTACAAACGTTGAAGAGATTGAAGGTAGCCATGTACAAGTGGTTTAAAAATGTCAGATAAAGTGTAGTGACATTGCAATGTGATATTGCAAATAATGAGATTGATACAGAAGGTATATCAAGGTCACCTACATTTAAGAGACTGCTCTTAGAGGTAGAATCGACATTTTTGGGGAAATATTCCTTGAAAAATAAAAAACAAAAAAAAAACGTGAAAAATCACACCATAAAGGTATTGGTGTAAGAAGGAAACAAACATCGTGGAGATTTTAGTAATTACAGATATGTGGGAATAATTTTTATAATTTAACCTAAATTTAGAAGGTTTTCATAATTTACCGTAGTTAAATATATTTGTTCAACTAAGGAGTAATTTAGTCATTTTACGTAAGTCAAAATGCAAAACAGATATAAGGGTTGGTTAGTTATATAAATCTCAACATAAAGATGTTTTTGTTAAAGTTTTTTTAATACAAGACCTCTTTTGACAATCCATGATTACATAAGGGTGGTCCTTGCCAAAATCCTCCTTATGTATCTGGTAGTAGGGGTGGTGAATGAGTTGAGCGTGCTCATAAATTTGATGAGCCGACTCGATAAAAGTTCGAACTCGAGCTCGAGTATTTCGAGCCCCAGCCCGATTATAGTTGCTCGACAGTATTAGTGTATATATTATAGATTATTATTAATATTATTTATTATAGATATATATCTTGTAATCTTGTCATGTGTATCTCTTAATTAGTTACCTTGTGTAATAGATTAGAGTTTCCTACATGTAACTATATATATGTGTAATAAACGTGAGAGACACAATTCTCTCTTTCTCTAACTATATTTCTCCTATATGGTATCAGACACTAGGTTAACCTAGCCGTCACCACCACCCTCCCCTCAGCCGCCTCACGAGCTTCTTATTTGTTTATTTTCGTTTATCGATTTGAATAATAAAAATAATATGTTTATAATTATTTTTATTTTTATAGTCATATAAATAACTTATACTAAAATAAAGTAATATTAATATATAAATAAATAAAACTAATAATTAACAAAATGAGTTGAGCTCGAGCTCGATGAATCCACTTGAGCTTAGAAAATGAAAGCTCAATAGGCTATAGCTAGCAAAATTGGACACGAGCTTGAGCTTGAGCCTGAAAATTCTGGCGAGCTCGGCTCTTTCACACCCCTATTCGGAAGTATTCTAGTTTTGAATGGTAATTTAGGTGGTGTTTGCAAAAGCTTTTAAAAATAGATTATGACTTTTTTTTTCCTCACATAATCTGTTTTTAGGTGTTTGCAAAACTAGTTTTTGCTTCTCTTAAAATAAGCTGTTTTAATCTGTAATTTTAAAAGCACCTATGTACCTGTTTTTTCTATTTTAGTTACTTTTCCATATTTTTTGCAAACACCCCCAACTTTTAAAATTAAGCACATAATATCAACTTAACTTACAATCACCAACTTATAATTTTAAATAAGCTTTTGCAAAACACCACCTTAATATATATTAGCATTGAAATTAAAACTTACAAAACTTCCACTACCACAAATATATAGAAGCTTGTTGTATGTGCTGGAATGTTTATTTGTCTTTGCAATTTGCCTCTTCTCACTTCATCTTCGTGGAAGTTGCATCTACCAATATGACAATTTATTGGTCCACGTACATATGGCACAATGCTAGATTAAGAATAGTATGAAGTCAAAGTATTGTAAAGTCGTCTTCTTAAAAAAAGAAAAGAAAAAAAGACATTATTGTAGATTCAAACTCATTAAAAATTAAAATAACTAGATTTCACATTGACATGCAATCCTCAAATTTAATTTGGCTTCACGTGCACCACGAATCAAGGGTAGACTATCCAGTCTCGAGATAAAATCAATTTCAATTCCAAATATTTCGGAAAATTTTCAAAAAAAAAATTAAAAATATACAAAATCAATTCAAATTCCAAAAGGCCTGGAGTTTTTGAAATTTCGGAAAATTATTGGAGATCACATAAGTTTCAAAATTTTAAAACTTAGCGGAAATTTTCAGAAGATTTCATGAATCTCCAAAATAAGAACATCCAAGTCGATAAAAGTAAAACTAATAACTACTAAATTTCAATTTAAAAGAAGAAATAAAAATAAACCACATAATAATATCCAATAAAATTTCTAATAATTCAATATGTTCAAATCCTAAAACAAAACTTAAATCAAATCACCGTTTCAGAAAACAAAATAAAAACTTAACATAAGTATTATATAATATATATTATTTTTAGGTGTGTTTTTTGGAAAAGAAAATCGGAATTTTTCGGAATTAATTTCGAAAATTAAATCAGATTGGAAATCGAAATTTCGGAAGTCGAAATGAAAAAAGTTGTTCCAAAATTGGGACTTTTCGGATCGGAACTGACAGAAATTGGAATTTTCATTCCAACTTGCACCCCTACTCGTGACTTTACTAAACGAAATTTATATACGTCATGTGTTTCTTAATATACGTCGTTTTTCACATTTGCACAAATCTTAAAAAACTCAATAAAAAACATTCATTTAATACAGTATTTAAAATTTAAATTGACAGATAATATCGAATAAAAATACCTTTAAAAAAAACAGTTATTATGGAACAAAACAAAAGAAAATAGGGGTAATATGCTAAGAGTCCCTCAACATAAACCTAATTTGAAGTGGATGACAACCTCAAATGAAATATATTAACTAAATTCTTAGTTCAAAATAAAATTTGACCCACATCCTTTTATTTTTATTTAACCCGAAAATACCCTTAATATAAATAATAATAAATTAGGTTTTACTCTCATTAATCTTTTTCCCCTCTTTTTTTTCCCAGCCACCCCACTCGCGTCATGTCTCTCTTCTTTTGAATCGTTTCAACTTTCACCTCTTTCTCTACTTCTGTCATATTTTTTCAAACTGAGGATTTCGGTGCCATCAAAATTGGAGGACGCAATCTAGATCTGCCACGGAGGGTTAGAGTAGGCTGAAGGGGGAGATGCGGAGATCTGGAAATTTCGAGGTTCTTGGAGATCTCGGCGGTGATGCGGCAGAGGGGGCGGATGTAGAAGGGAGCAACGGAGGTGGCAATGACGGCGGTGGTCGTGTTTATAGAGGTGATGGTTATGGTGGGGATGACCATTGGAGACGGTGGTTGAGATTCGACAGTGGGTGGTGGTTGCATTAATCTAGGGTTTTTTTCCGTCGCTAGGATTTTGGTTGACGACTAGGGTTTTGTTGATACGAGTTGGCGGCGGCTGCTAGGGTTTGGCGACAGCCGAGAGTTTGTTTTGCTGCTAGGGTTTGGAATAATACGCCGTAGTAAACCATAGTACGCCGTAGTATATCATAGTATACCAATATATTATAGTACACCAGTATATCATAGTATATCATAGTATATCATAGTTTACTAGAGTATTGACAGCAAATACAATTAAAAAAATGAAAAACATATTTGTTTGTAATTTTCAGTATTATATAGAAAAGAAGAATTTTATTTGTTTTACAAATAGTGTAAGAAATGCTGAAATGTTCAAAGAAAAAAAAAACGTATATTCTGTAAAAAAAGAAAAATGAAAATATTAGATGAAAAATGAAAATATTAGATGCAAACTAAAAAGATGATAAATGCACTTTGAATTTTACTTAATGCATAATTTGAATTTGTGAGTGGAGGGGTATTTTCGTAATGAATTTTATAAAGGATGTGTAGCAAATGTTTAGTTAACCTTGTCATTTAGTTCTAATAAGTTTTGTGACTAGGGACTTATATCTTAATACTCCAAGAAAATATTTAATTAAATTAAAAATAAAAACAGAATATGCCGATTGACAAGCCAAGAGCACACCATCATCATCCAATCATATAGTCGTCAAAAATTAAATAATATAGGAATAAAAACATTATAACAAAAAGCATATACTAATAAATGTACATAATAGAGTCCAATCAAGTGCAGGTAACAAAGGGCCCTCAATACCTATAAATAATAATCAAATTAAAATAAGAAATAATAGTAATAATAATATTAATATGAATAATAATAATAATAATAAGGGTAAATTACAACCACCCCTGGGGTATGGTAAAATTACAAAAACCCCCCATTTTGTTTGGATAATTACAATAACCCCTCAAATATAAATTTTCTTATACATCCACCCTCGCGGTTTCAAATTTAGTGGAATTTTCTTGATTATATGGAATATTATCACTTTTGTACATGTTTTATCGCATTCGAGCTCCACATTTTGAAGCAAGATGATCATAAGATGTGTTTTGTGGCTTTTATATATCAAATTGTGATACATCAGAAACTGTATTTTTACACAAAACGAGTACAAACTAGAGCATTTTTCACGGAATCTAGATGATTATGTTGAATTTTGACACAATAAGCGTGGAGGTGTAAGAAGATTCATAGTTGAAGGTAGATGTAATTAATTAAACAAGAGGGGGGTTTTCGTAATTTGACCATACCTCAGGGGGTTTTTCGTAATTTGACCATATCTCAGGGGTTGGTTGCAATTTACCCTAATAATAATAATAATAAAACAAAAAACAAAAATTGCATCCTCATCCCTTTGCTTTGGCTCCACGAAGGATCCTTTCGTGCCTCTACATACAAGTCTTTCATTCACATCTTCTCTCTCTCTCTCTCTATATATATATAAATAATCCCACACACATACACAAAAACACTCTCTCTCTCTCTCTCTCTCTCTCTCTCTCTTTCTTTCTCTAAAGTTTCAACCAAAAAAAATGGGTGGGGCTTCTGTATGTAGAATGGTAGTAACAATGTTGGCTATGTTCATGTTGAGCAGCACAGTTTCTGCAGATCCAGAAATGCTTCAAGATATTTGTGTTGCTGATCTCACTTCTGGTATATCTATTTATTTATTAATATTCCTCCAATTCATTATATATATATATATATATATATATATATATATATATATATATATATATATATATAATGCATATATGCTTTTTTTTGAATTTGTTTTCCTATATTTTTATTTTATTTTTCCAATTTAATTTCTTGCTGGAATATGATTGGTGACTTTTCTCCCATGGCCAAATAATACCCCCTCTGTTCAGAGTAACTATTTCTTTTTAAAAATATTTTTGTTTTTAATTATCTGTCACTTTAGATTTTCAAAACATGCATTAAATGCATTTTTCCTGTTTTAACCTTATTAATGCATCTCTAAACATTAATTTTCACTTATAAATTATTAAATGAAAATGGTTGTTTTAGTCATTTTTATGTGATTTTACTAAAATCAAGCTATATTTATTGAATTTCTTAATCTTTGTGAAAAATGAAAAGAGAGACTTATTTAGAAACGAACGGAGTATATAGTTTCTCCATTAATATTTGTCAAATGAAATAAATATAGTTTTTTTTTAAGTTCTATAATATGCTGTACAAAATTCATTTAATTTGCATTAATTTAATGCTGCAAGTGTTTGCAACTAGCCCTTCTGTCCTCAACTATTTTTAATTTAACTTCAATTCAACTTTATTTCATTAATTAAATGTGCCATTAATTATTACAAATATAGTAAAACCTCCCTAAATTAAATTAGTAAAGTCGAGCTTAACTAATTCTATTAATTTGTAAAATATTTAATAATTGAACTAATAATTTATTATATTTGTACAAAAATTATTATTTAAATTATATTATTAATTTATTGAGATTGTACTGTATTTGGTGCAAAATTCTGATTTTCCTTTTAGTCTCAGAATATTTATTGTTAACATTAATGTTATAGAAAGTCTTTCTGGAAAACTGTAAGTTTTGGTCATCTATTTGGTTCTATTTAGGGATGCAATCCTCTAATTTGTCATCTTTCAGTTTTACATGAAACAACTCTATAAACATAGTAGTTTTGTATTTTACATGATTTTTTTATGAAGCGACAAATAAACTTGACGAGTTTTTACTTATATGGACACTTGAAATTTATAATTTCAACACCTACTATCCCTAATAGAACTTTAATTGTGTGAGACGACGAATTTTATAAAACAAAAATTACAGGAGCACCCGTCAACGTCCATATATATAAACTCCGACTTTTCAGAGTTCGAATGAAATAGGACTAAAAATGCTAATTTTGCGTAGTTATTGTGTGTAAAAATTGAAATGAGAAAACTTAGAGGACTAAATCACTAAGTAGGATAACATAGAGGACCAAAGTTATAAATTTATTATATTACTAAATTTGTGTGTGTGAAATTTGAACAGCTGTGAAAGTCAACGGATTCACATGCAAGTCAAACGTGACGGCGGATGACTTCTTCTTCGCCGGTCTAGCTAAACCGGCCCTCACAAACACCACCACCGGAGCGGCGGTCACCGGCGCCAACGTCCAGAGAATCCCGGGACTCAACACCCTCGGAGTTTCCCTCGGCCGGATCGACTACGCGCCCGGCGGCCTGAACCCGCCGCACACCCACCCACGCGCCACCGAGGTTGTGTTCGTGCTGGAAGGAGAACTCGACGTGGGCTTCATCACCACCGCAAATATCTTGTACTCCAAGACAATCAAGAAGGGGGAGGTCTTCGTTTTCCCCAAAGGGCTCGTGCACTTCCAGAAGAACAACGGCAAATCGAACGCCGCCGTCGTCGCCGCCTTCAACAGCCAGCTCCCCGGGACGCAGTCGATCGCCGCCACCTTGTTTGCGGCGGCGCCGCCGGTGCCGGATAATGTCCTGACGACGGCGTTTCAGGTCGGGACGAAGGAGGTCCAGAAGATCAAGTCCAAGTTCGCGCCAAAGAAATGAAAAGATTTTTATTTCTTTTATTTTAAGTAAAATTTGTTAATTGATTTTTTTTTTTTTAATATTGTTTGGATAAATTTGATTATTTTATTATTATGCAATTGGAATAATTGTTGCAACTTGTAACACGAGATATTTCTGTCATTTTGTGTCATTATGAATAAAAATTGGAATTTCCTGAAAAATGAAAGAATGTATTATAATATTAGATAATAATACATCACAGGATAATAAGTTGGTAATATATTGCAAAAGAAAATTTAAAAATTTTTTGTATTCCACATGATTTTTTTATTATTATTATTTTATTTTATTTTTTATATTTTTTTATGTTAAGTCATTGGACTATAAAGCATGTGCTGTAACATACAAAATTTTGAGCTCATCTGGAGGAGGGAAAAAACACATAATTGACATCCAAATTATGAGATAAACCACTAATTAATAGTTCAGTTAATTGTTATTAATATGGTATGGGTCTTAAATTAAAGTCCATACCATATTTGAGTTTTATAAAAGTGTTAAAATGTTAATAAAAAAAAAAGTAATAAATTCTAATTTTGTGGGTTAGCGATTTGGGTTTAAATCTATCCGAGCCTACCGGCTCAAGTTGCAACGCAGAAACCCTAGCTTGTGCTATAAATGGAGGACTCCAGTCGATGCAAAAGACAGACTCAAATATAACACATATTGAGCTCTCAAACTTAAGTCTCAAGTCTTCGTCCCGAATTTATAACATATTTGAATTTCAGATATTTATATTTATTTGATTCAAGAACAAGCTTCTAAATCTCTTTGAATCGATATAGACGAGAAAAATGAAGAGAATTTTCAGAGATTGTAATCCACTTTCGTTTGATTAATAAATTGTATCCGTTCCTATTCGTCTTGTGTTGCATTCATATTTCGCAGACTCGAAATTTGTAGTTAACAAAGTTAACTAGGGATTTAAATTCATACTTTTGGTCTAAAAGTTAATTAGTTGACTGTACTCTTCAAATGTGTAACATATTAATTAGTTGGGAAGTATATATTGTCATAATAATTTACTATTAACTAATAGTTATATTTGATTGATCATTAGAACTAAAATTATATGTCGAAAATCACTTATGTCTAAAGCAATTACATTGCGGAGGGAAAAAGACATTTACCAACTTTTGAATTGTGATGGTTTTGCCTATTAATTATTTGATTACTTAGGAGATTTTGTTCAACAAATTTCAAATTATTGATGATAATATATATACATCTTACCTAATTTCTTTGTCGGATAAACTACATCTTACCTAATTTTCTTAATCCTTACTACCCACAACTTGAGTTTTTACTAATTAACCTCAATCGTGATTCTTATTCTTTAAAATTTACAGTACAATCTCGATAGATTAATACTCGATAATTAATAACCTCGCATTTAAATAAAATAAAAATCTGGTCATGACTCATGGACAACGTGCTAAATTAATAATTCACTAAAACTATAAAATAATACATATTTAAAAATTTTAATAGGGTCCGTCTAATATATAAATTTATAATGCATATAAATAAATCATCAAATAATGCATGGTACAATATAATTATGATAAATTTATGAAGGCTTAATTAAATACAGGGCAAATGGCAAATAGACCAGTAATAATGCACTTAATTAAAAAATGGACGTCCAACTTTTTTGCCTTGCAAATATATTTAATCATTCAAATTTATTTTTTATTAAGGAAAACTCTTTCATACATACGAAAATTATCCTAACTCCTTGAAACCCTAATTCAACTCCAATTTCATGATTTATACTACAATTTAATCAAATTTCACCAATTAACTAATTTTGGACACTTATTCCAATTTTGACCACCACCGCCGGTCTCCGACTTTGACTTTTTTTTTTTTCGGGCAGGTCAGCTGTTGCTGACCGCTGGTCTTCGGCGTTGACTTTTTTTTAAACCTTTTTTTCAATTTATTTTTCATTAATATTACTATGTTGGTCTGCAATATTACTCTCTGAGATGGTAATATCGCAGTCAAATACTGAAATATCATTGTCAAAGACAGTAATATTATTATCCAAACTGTAGTATTACTGTTTCAAACAATAATATTGTTGCTAACACAGTAATATTAATGTAATAATTAATTTTGTCGTGTTCACCTGCAACATTGTTGTCTTCGATCGTAATATTACTGTCCCAGACAGTAATTTTGTTGTTAGCATAGTAATTTATGGAGGAAAAAAAAGTCAAAGCGGAATCTTGTCGGAAAAAAAATTATTTTCTATTAAAAAAAAATTGTGAAAATGGGGGTTAATATGATATATTTGTACAAATTTGGGGTGAAAGTGCATATGATGTTAAAGTATAATGGATGAAATTGATGAAAATTTTATTACGAGGGAGACAAGAGAAATGGGATGGGTTTTTTTTTGCGAAACTGTTTTTTGTCTGGATATATGTACATTTAAGTCCCTTTTATGGATTTATTTGCTATTTGTCGTAAAATATAATTTAATTGTCACATGTTTCTTATTGAGTTCACATCATCTTCTATCTCATCCCCACTTTGTTAATCATGGTAAGAACTTCTGGTGTATTTGTATGATGTAATTTTTATTGGTTTATTAGGGATAACCCCCTTGTTCATATTTTCTAATAAGGTAGATCCAAATAATTTTTCCCTTTTTGATATACACCCAAATATGCCAATTTGGCACAATATATTATTTAATTTCTCTTTAATACCCCTGCTTTATTTTTTAACAGCATTTATTTCCTTAACTACGTGATATGAGATTACTGATTCGTTGCCTAAAATCACGGCATAAAATTACGTGAGTATATTGGTGGTTTCATCGGTTTCATCTGCACTTGCGCCGCCACCAGCACCTCCACCGCCACCGCCTCCGCCTCCAAGATCGTCACCTCCACCTAGACCTCGACCGGCACCACCTCCGCCTCCAAGGGTGCGACACTCGATTTAGGAGTGAAGCCAAGTAACTTAAATGGCCAATATCGTTGTTATCGTCGTTGGCCACCGGCGGCCGCCGCCGTCAATTCTCAGATATAGGGTTTTGATGATTTTTCGGCCCATAGTCGATGAACGAGATTCATGGTCGAATTAGATCTATGGGATAGTATATTAAATGATATGGGATAGTCTATTAATATTAAAACACAAATCCTCCACCGTCACTTCTCAGATCTAGAGTTTTGATGATTCTTCGGCCCATATTTTCGGCCCATAGTCGATTAACGTGATCCATGGTCGAATTAGATCTATGGGATAGTCTATTAAATGATACGGGATAGTCTATTGATATTAAAACATATATCCGTCGCCGTCACTTCTCAAATCTAGGGCTCTGATGATTTTTCGTCCCATAGTCGATTAACGAGATCCATAGTCGAATTAGATCAATGAGATAGTCTATTACATGATATGGGATAGTCTAACAATATTAAAACACAAATCCGCCGCCATCACTTCTCAGATCTAGGATTTTGTTGATTCTTCGGCCCAATAGTCAAATAACTAAACCCATAGTCGAATTAGATATATGGGATAGTCTATTAAATGATATGAGATAGTCTATTAATTTTAAAACACAAATCCGCCGCCGTCACTTCTCAAATCTAGGGTTTTGATGATTTTTCGGCCCATAGTCGATTAACGAGATCAATAGTCAAATTATATCAGTGGGATAGTCTATTAAATGATATGGGATAATCTATTAATACAGATGTAATTCGACTATGCATCTCGTTAATCAACTATGGGCCGAAGAATTATCAAAACCCTAGATCTGAGTAATCCTAGATTTGAGTAACCCTAGATTGGAGCAGTGACGGCGGCGGCGGCGGCGGCCAACGACGATATCACTCCTAAATTGATTGTTACGACCTTGGAGGCGGGAGCGGCGGAGGTCTTGGTCGTTTTTGGCGGTCTTGGAGGTGGAGGTGGTCGGATGTGGTGGTGGTGGAGGACTAGGCGGTGGTGGATGTGTTGCTTATGGCCAATATTGTTGTTATCGTCGTTGGCCACCGGCGACAACGGTGACGGAGGTGGCGGCGGTCGGAGGTGGAAGCGGCGAACCCGGCGGGAAAATAGGGAGGGATTTGATATGATTTCAAAAGGTAAAGTAACGTGATTTTTGGGATTTGATTGAGGGTTCTGATGGAATTTAGAAAAATATGGATTTTTATCAAAATGACAAATTTAAGTTTGGATCTACCTCTATTTTTTGTAAGACTAAAGGGGTTATATCTAATGGACCCAATTTTTATTACCAGTACTTGTGTGCTCAAATAGAGTTCAAGTAATGTATAGTCATAATTTAGGGATAACATGTAAATTGAATAAAAGAAGACATTGAATAATCCACCACATTGAATAAATAAAATACATTGCATAAATGATATACATTGAACTAATAGTACAATGAATATATATATACAGTGTTCTAAAAATCGGCCGAGGCGGTCCAAAACCTTTACGAGTAAAGGTTTGAAAAATCAGTTTTTTGCCTGTGAAGCGGTTTTAGGCGGTCTGAGGCGGTCCGAGGCGGTCAAACCTTTAAGGCGGGTCAAACTCCGTGGCAAAAATCGGTCAAAAATTGGTTAAAAATCGGTTTTTTTTTTTTTTTTTTTTTTATAATTCAAAATAAAAGTTGGATTTTAATAAAAGAAAATATGAGTTTATGCCTTATTTTGTTTATATTAATTATTATTGTTAAAGAACTGAGTAAATGTTAATTCAAAAATTTTGCTTTTTTATTTATATTTTATAAAGATATTTATGTATTATGATCTTATAATTATTAAACTTTTATTATGTTATTAGGATATATACATGATGGAGATATAACTATGTTTAAATATCTTTTTATGTATGTTTGGAGTATTTATAAATAATATTTAGAAATATATTATATTAAATTTTAAAAACCGATTTATTTCCGATTTATCACCGATTGATCACCGCCGCACCGATTAATCATGAGTCGGTACCTGACCGAGTCGGACCCGATTACCGCCTTTTACAACCTTGTATATACATAAAAACAAATTTAAAAAAAAAATTACTGAAAATATTAATAACAGCAATTTCATAAATTTAATAACTCATTAATTAATGTGTGAATTAATTATTATTAATTTATTGATAAGTTAACATTTTGCTAAATTAATATGATTTTGATGGTCCCAACTGTATTAATTTATAGAAGTTTAACTGTATGTACTACACTCATCTATCTATTATTCAAGAGTTTTTGTTAGTTTTTCTTCAAGTGTATATTTTAATGGTGCACCAATATTAGCAATTTAAATAGATGAGTTTGTAGTTCAAATGTCATTCAATAGCAGTTTTGTAAACTAACATTATTTGTATACAATTAAATAACAATAAATGTATTGAATACCATTTTTTTCTTTTAATATTTGAGTTATTTATTTAGCGTGCTAATCGAGATTTAGATCGAGCCGTATAGCAAGCTCAAACTTGGCTCATAAATTCCCCAAATTTAAAAGAATCACTCAAACTCAGCCCGGTTCACAACTATTTAGCTAGACTCGTAGGTTTAGTGATCGAATTTTGGGTAGACCGGTCCGACTTAATCGACAATTCAAAGTAACGTATATTTGTATATTAGCAATCAAACGTCGCCTATTAATACCCATTTAAATAATTAGAACGCGAAAATGAAGTATAAAAAATCGACAAGATACACTAGTAGAAAAATGGCCTTTTGTTACAATTTTTTTTGCTACAAAGAAAAACTCGTTACAAAAGGTATTTTTTACTACAAAATACATGTCGTAGCTAAAAGTCGTAGCAAAAGAATATATATCACTACGGCACAACATTCGTAGCAAATACTTATGTGAAACGTCATCGTTTTATTCTTTTACTACGGATTTTACCGTAGTAATAGAGATTATTTGCTACGCTCGGTGTACGGTAATAAAAGATCTAAATTTAATAAAATCGAAATACCCTACCACTTAAACTGAGAAGCACATATCGTCGTCCCTCCCCTTCATTTTCTTTCAATTTCACTTTGTTCACCCACAATCGTTGATACCCTCACAAACTAACACTGGAAGCCATCGTCAGCGAATTACTTCAAGTCTAGCCACCGTCTAACGCCGAGCCACCGAATGCCGCCTCCGCCGCCGCCGCCGCGGTACCCTCTCTCTATTTTTTTTCTTTTTTTTTTTCTTTTAATGACCTAGGATACCTACAGTCGTGTCTTCGGGCTTCAATAGATCTCTTTTTTAGCACCGAGTTGCAATTCGGATGTGGATTAACTCTGAAATTAGTGGTTCTAAAAACCCCCAATTTTGAAACCCTATCCATGAAGTAGTTTTTGTCTCCTAGTTAATTTTTTGTTATGTTCACGACTAATACTACGAAATTGCATATATTAGCGGTGGTCTTCGCTGCTCGGCGACGAATTAGTTGAGTAGATTTTTGTTTTAGTTAATGTCTTCATGTTGCCTCTTGGTTTCAAATCATTGAATATCACTGGTAAAGTTTGTGTTTTTTTAAGCCACTTCAAATGGTGTTTACTAATGGTTTGTTCTTGAGAACTTAATGGTTTTTGGAATCGAGGTATGGTAAGATGAATGCCCCTTCTTTATTGCTTCTCTTTTAGTCCGTAGAGGTGAGATACTAATTTCTTTTAATAATCTTTTGTATGCACGTCCATGGCTGCACGGTCTTATCTATAGCATGACATCATATGTGGTTACCGTGGCACATTATACGCATTAATTTTACATGAAAGTATTATGATTTAACAGTTAGCTTGAATCTTATATTCTACTACTTTAGTTTATGCACAATTGTGAGAACTATTTACAATCTTTGGTGAGTATCAGTTCTATTCCTTGCAATGATAATTGATGCATTCCTACTGCATTAGTTACACTTATGGTGGTGTAGCTCAAGTTTTATTACATATATTATGATATTGTTCTGTAAGGTTTGGTTTGTTGTATTCATTATATTATTGTTTAGTTTTATATATAATAAGTTGCTTATTCCTGAATTATTTACATGTTTTGATGTGCTTGTACATTAATGTTATCTGCAATATTATTGATGGATCGTATTTGATTCATAGATCGAGAAGGTTGGTTGAAGATTTAAGAAACAAAAGATGCTAGCTTTTTCAGCCTATTAAGGTATGAAATCCATCTCAAAGTAATTAGTTTATTAATAACTAGAAATATAATTAAATTATTTCATTACTACAAAGTTTAGGACTTCTTTATTTTGTTCGTGCAGATTCAGAGTCGTACACTTATTTTGCCACAGAAGGTGCCAAGAAAATTGAGAACTACCTTACAAATGCAAGGAGTAGAAGGATGTGAATGTATGTATAATATTTTGCTTCCCTTTTCTTACAAATGCAAAGTTGAACATCATATTTTACCAGCACATTGTCCAACCTAAATAATAAACTCAATATGATGATTATTGTTTATGGCGTTGGTATTAAAGTTGTGGAGTTGCTCAATATGTTCATTTGATTCTTATACACGTTTATTGTTTGTTATATTTGTTTTGGCAGAATCTCTTTGCTTGCTAATCGTCTACACTTTAAAGGGTCATATTAAGGAAGAATAAAAGAGTTGAAAGACCAAATTTTCAAGAAAGATACGGGGAAAGATAATCACAAAAGTATGATTGTTAGGCAGAAACACCTATGTGTGGTGTATTCTTTGCACGTAAACGAGCAAGCTTGCCGCAAGAAGATAGGGTGTTGTTGCGAAAGTTTAAAGACGAAACGATGGAGGAAAAAAAATGCAACAGATGGAAGAAGAGTCTGTGAGTAGTTAGTCTTAGAGGAGAACATGACAATATTATCTCAAACTTATGATTTGTATAAATATTCATGGCTAGATGTAAATTTAATGATTTTAAGATATAGCGGGTTTTTTATTTTTTGATTATTTAATTATATATGATTTGGTATTGAATATTCAGGTATTTAATTGTATATTTTAGAATTATTGCTACAGAAAATGGTTTGTAAAAATCATAATTTTTACTACGAGAGGTGGTCGTACCAAAAGCTGGGTTTGGGCACCAGAAAAAAAACAACCTTTTTGCTACAGGACATGTTGTACCAAATAGTCATGCATTTGTAACAAATTCATAGTCGTAGTAAATGCTAGTTGTGCCGTAATAAAAAAGTATTTGCTACGAAAATGTCCCGTAGCAAAGTATTTGTCACGCCCGTATTTACTACGGAGAAAATTCGTAGCTAATTCGTAGCAAAAAGCCTTTTACTACGAATATTGGACTATTCGCTACGAATTTAAATGGTAGCAAAAACCCTTTTTCTACTAGTGATATAACATAACAACAAGAGAAAAAAAAAAAAAAAAAAAACCTGAGGGTCTGCATTTAAAAACACAAGTTACTAATATATTACAACATTGCTTTCCCTCCAAAAAGAAACAAAATTAAAAAAGAAAAACACAAGTTAATAATTTTTTTGTTATTATTATTATTTTTTAATTATTATTAGAGATGGCAAGTTCAACCGAGATGATGAAAGTGGATTTTCCAGCCTCTCTCAAATACTGAACATCTCCATTCATAAGCTTAACCAGCTTTCTACTTATGAAAAGACTTATCCCTTCGTCGGAAGCTTCCGCCTCGTCGCCGCCGAACATTTGGTCAAGCACTTGCTGCGCCACTCCACCTCCACTGTGTGTTATCCTACACCACCATAATATATATAATATAATTTTTTTATCCATAATAATTTATCATAGGATTGTGGCCGAAAGTCAAATCAAGCTACTCGATTCCAAATCGAACTTCAGATTCGTTTTTAAAGGAATATTCATAACACGGGATTTTTTTTAGCAATCAGTATAACTCCTCAATAACTCAGGGGTACTAAATGTAATAAACTAAAAAATTCTCGACTCGTAGGTTTAATTTCTAGCACATGAAAAAAAAGAGGGGGTTTTACGGTGTTAGTTGTGAGTGTATACCTGAGTTCCAAATGGCCGAGCTGAACGGATTGGCCGATAGAATCTTTAGTGAGCTTGGCGGCAACACCAACGCTGCCGCCGCTCGGTGTGGAGGTAACGGATATTAGCAAGAAAGCCGCCAGCACTTGTTGAAGCCTCAAACTATCTCCATACAGCGTTTCGTTCGACAGATTTGGAGCCAAATTATCGGCTATCACAATACCCTTCCCGTTGCTCTTCATCATCACTTGACTAATCGAAGCAATCAACACCTCGTGCAGATTAAACTCCACCATCTCAAGATCCAAGTACCTAAAATCCCAAAAAAAATAAAAAAATCGTAAAATACTAAAACCCATCATTGTATGAAGAAAATCGAAGATTGAAATTTTTTGGATCGGAATATGTGGAATTCAGATTTTCCATTGTTTTATTAGCCAATAATATATAAATACATAATTGTCATTTTTTAAGAAAAAGAAAACCCAGAATTATTTGTGTTTATTTTTTAGAATTAAAATCGAATCGAATTGAAAATCAAAATCTCGCACATATTCCAACTCCGATCCAAAAACAAATCAAGAATGGTAATTTAAAATGAAAAATATTTTTTTTAAATCCAAATTTTTCTGACCAAATTCGGCAGAAATTCGAAAAATCTTTCCTACATTCAAGACCAATAAAATCAATTTAACAGAGACTTACCCTTCGATTATATGATCAAGATCCGTATCATCGAGAATCTTGTTCAACTGTCTTTGACAATGACCACTCGTACGAAGAAGATTCTTCTGCTCATCATCCAAATCAGTACCTTCCATCATTTTCCGAGAAAAAATAATCCCGGATAAAGGATTCCTAATCTCCCTTCTTATATAAGCCAAAACCCTCGATCTCTTCAAAGCATTCTCCTCAGACAACCTCTGCACATGCAGCGCCCGTTGAAGCTCGGGGCTCGCCAGCTGTAAGAAGCAGAAGACACCTGTCACAGAACCTTCCGGATCCATCTTCTTGCTCACACACAATAAGCACTCCACGTACTTTCCTCCCCTTGACAAAAAACCGAAGGGCATCTTTTCGGAATGCTGACCTGTCACTGCGTTATTGAGTGCAATACCTAGGTTTACGTAAGCTTCTTGATTCTTGATTCTGCAATAGTTGGACTTGTTTGTGCCGAAGATTTCGCCCACGAGCATTTTATTGATGACGTCATCTTTTCTCCAGCCGGATATTTTGGTCATGGCGGGGTTCCATTCGGAGCACCACCCGAATTCGTCGGATCCGAATATGGGCGGGATTAACGGGTTAGGGTTTTGGATGATGGACTTGTAGTCGCCTTGGATTCTTGTGAATTTGTCCATTATGGTCTTTTGGGCGGTTATGTCTTGTGCGATGAAGCATACTCCGACTATGTTTTCTTTTACGTCTTTGCTTGCGCATGCGTTTACGACTAGGGTGATTGGGGGAGCGGATTCGGTTGTTTGGTCGTGGGTTTTGATTTCGAATTGCACGTTTTGTTCTTCTTTACCTGGATGGAGATTAATTTGAATTTTCTTTTAAGTTATTGAGCATAATGAAGACATATACGTGTACGGGTGGAAATTAGACGGATCAGAACGGAATTAGTAATTTTCTTTTTTTCGAAAGTGGAAAACTTCTTCTGATCCTGTTCCAAAAGAATTCGGAAAAAAATGGAAATCGGAATTTCGGAAATTGGACGAAGAACTTTTTCCAAAATCAAAAAAATTCAAATGAGAAATGGTGGAATTTGAAATTTTCATTTTTTTGTTCACCTATAACGCAACATACATAATTAATATTAATTTTAAAAAAGTGTAACTTTAAGGGGAATTTTTTTGGAATTTTCAGAAATAAATCGAAAATTAAAATCATATAGGAAATCGGAACTAACATGTATTCCAATTTCGTTAGAAGAAAAAAAAAATTGGAATTTTTTGGATAAAAAATGGCGGAATTCAGAAGTTTCAATTGTTTGGTCACTTATAATGCAAAATACATAATAATATTGATTTTATAAATGTCATCTTTGGAAAAAAAAATCAGAATTCGGGAAATATTTTCGAAAATTAAAATCGGATCGGAAATCAGAATCTAACATGTACTCAAGTTTCGTTCCAAAAAAATCAAAAATCGGAAAATTTTGGATCGGAATCTGCGAAACTCGGAATTCCCATTCCAATTTCCACCCCTAAATATATTTCAAGAAAGATAGAGGAAAAAAAAAATCATACCTTGAATAGCCAACTCCAACATCCTACTCACAACACCAGCCGAAGAATCCTCAACAAGCTCAAGAAAATGCCTTCCAATCGCACTCTCAACACCAAGACCAGTCAACTCGGCAATCTTGGAATTCCACCCGTTCACCAAACCATCAACATCAACGGCCAAGATCGGCACAGTCGCAGTCTCGATCAATCTCACCATCTCGCTAGTCACCGCCTCAAGCTCCTGTACACCCTCGATCATCTGCATCTCACTCAACCTCGTACGCACCAAATCACCCTCACCCCCCTCCTTCAAAAAAGAATTCCTCAAAATCAACTGCAAAGAGTGTATAGCATCCATCTCAAAATCCTTCCAAGGCAAACTCCTACTCTTCACAACTTCCAAGAAAGCGTTGAACGAACTCCTCGGGTGCATCTTTCTACCGTCGTCCTTTTCGCCCGCCTCATGCTTGGCCCCACCCCATCGAATCTCCGCCGCTGTGTGGGCCCGGAACCAGAACAGCCAATCACGTTCAGTTATTCTCACAGCTGCGGTACCACATATAGCATCACCTAAGGATAAAGCACCTGGAAAACCTGCATCGTATAAACTGTCTGTGCTCAATCCAGTCGAGTCTCTGTGGTATTCGTCTAGCCACGAGACTATGTCTCGTATTTGAAAGTCGTTTGGAGTTAATCCGAGTTTGTATGTCTTGTTTTTATAGAGTAAAACCGCTCCGTCGCATTTCACTAAATCCGTTACATTGGGTGATTGTGACACGATACCTAACGGCGCGTCGCGAAGCAGCAGATCGCAGAGGAGCGTCTGCGTACGGAGAATATTCTTCTCGAGATTCTGATTCTCGAGCTCCAGCTCCTTGCTGACGTGGATCGCGAACACCTGCGCGAGGAACTCGCACGCGTAACGGAGCGGGAATGGTACAAATCTTGGACTTGTATTATGGCAAACCACTAAACCCCATAGCCTTTTTCTCTTTTCAAGATTCGACGAAGAAGAATTCGCGGGGCCCGCTTCTTCTTCTTCGCCCTCATTGACCACAACCGACATAACTAACGAAGCGATCGAATTCATATTCTCCATATACTGCAAATGGCAACTATGTGGGGCCCGGAGAGTTGACCCGCACAACGTGAGGTCAAAATCAAGGTTCTTGTCTTGAACAACCTTTACATGATTGGCTCTACAGTCACAAATCATCCTCACCTTATTCTTCATGAACAAAAAACGGGCAGCCTGAGGAATATCTGTGGCGGGGTAATGCAAGCCCAGATAAGGGTCCAGGCCCGTTTTCGTAATTTCCGCCAAGACTTCTCCATGGTCGTCTTCGTGGAATTTATATACCATAACCCTATCGTAGCCAGTAAGTTCGAAAACTTCTTGAGCCATGGCATCGCAGAGCCGCTCCACGCTGCCGCTAGGCAAGGACTGGAGGCGGGCAATGGCTTTTGCAGCCAGCTTGTACGACTGCAGAGCTCCGGCGGCAGTCATTGGCACCTCGTAGGGTTTCACCGGCTCGAAGTCAATTATCAAACCGCCCGTGACTCTATGGATTATGGCATAGAAAGGTTTTCCCGAGGTTTTGCAGTGGACCAAAACGGGGTTTAAGAGAGAAACCTCGCCGAAGCCTAAGGCTTTTTGTAGGGCGGAGGAGCTCGGAGCGGTGAAAATGGATCTGATATCAGATCCAATATCGAGAAAAGGGTGGTCGCCGACAATCGGAACTGCGTGGGTGACTGTGGTAAGCATTTCGGGGGCATTTTCGGAATATGCAATGACTTTGAAGGTTTTTTCGTCGAGGGCTAGTAGGCAGCCGAAGGGTTGGATTAGCTTGCCCTTCTGGATCTGGTGGAGGTAGGCGGTGGTGACTTTCGAGGAGGAAGGGGGGTGGTCGCCCCCTCGAATAGGGTCGTTTGTTACGCGCACTGAGGCTGAGTAGTCGAATGAAGTGCCGCCCGATTCTTCGAAATCGGCGTGCAGCTTAGCGTCTATTGATGTTTGTGCAATCATACGAGCGCTGTGCCTTGATCGGGCGGAGGTTGTGGAAGACTGGCCTGGTTGAGCGGAGGACATTTTCGTAAATTTCTTGAATCTGTGCAAAAATGGTGGAAACGAATCAAATTGTCGTATACTTTTCTTCTCTTTTTTCTAAAAATTCAAAAGAAATGATCGGGTGCAGAACAGAAGAAGTATATCAATTTCGGGTTTTTTTTTTACCAATTTAAGATTTTGAAATTACACTCTGTAAATACATAGTAGTCAGATTTGAAATATCAAAGGTAATTAATTAGTATACATATTCACAAACAATTATCAAGAAAATAGCTTTTGAAGTTTGCAGTAGCTGCAACTCTGAAATCACACACACACACACACACACAAATCACTATCCAAACATCAATCCTCCAAATAAATTTGCAAAATCAAATGATTCCACACACACACACACATATAAGTGAAATTAAAGAAATTACCTTCTTGCAAAATTACACCTAAAAATCAAAGATAAAAGATAGGAGAAAGCAGAGAGACTAACCCCCTTTTATCTATTAAGCAGATGCCGATGAGAGTTTCAAGATGAAATCTCGAAATAGGTGAAGAAAAAAAAAAACAAAAATCCCCCCTTTTTTAATGAATCTAGGGCACAGAAATTTCAAAGTCCGACGAACATGGGGAAGAAGAGCTCATCGATCAGCAGGTGGTGGTGGTGCAGCAGCAACAATGGCAGATTCCTGCTTTCGAAGTGCTGAATTCGATCACCGCCAACTCTGATGCTTCCAAACCCGAAAACAATTGGGACCACACCACACCCGTTTTGCGCAGAAGAAGAGCCCACCACCACCTCCATTTCTATTAAACTAACCATTTTTTTTCTCTCTCTCTAGAATTAGTGATTAAACTATTGCGTATAAAATAATATGACTAATTAAATATATATATATATATTTCGCAGCGGATTGCAGTTTATATGTAATATATGTCTGTCAGATAAATATTTAGAGAGAGAGAGAGAGAGATAGAGAAAGAGGTGATTATTTTTATATTTCTAAAAATAGATTGAGTTCAAAAGATGGGGCCCACACCTGAAAATCAGAGTATAGATTTTGGCAATAAGATGAAGATTGGTAGTAGCAACTAGCAAACACTCTTTTGTAAAATAAAAAAAAAGTTAGCAATCTCTATCCCTAAAAACTCTTTATTCGATGATTTGTATTAGTATCGGCAATTGAGTTGGATCTATCAGAAACTCGATTGTTCGGCTTGATATGAGTGAACTTTGAGTCGGGTTGAGTTTTGAGTCGTTTATTCAAACTCGAAAAGTTTATGAGCCGAATTTTCACTACTAGATTCAACGGAATAAAGACCGGTCGAATAAGAAATCTAGATGTTTATTATTTGAAATGTTTACTAACTTTTTTTTTATACAATTAACGCTAGTTGATAAAAAATACTTTGGTAATACGTAAAAACTTAAACTTAATTCATCAATTGTGGTTACTTTTAAGCTTATATTAAAAATAATTTAATGAATTCAGAAAAAAAAGGGACTACTAACAAATATTTAAGGTTTTCATTGATTGAATTATTGAAAATATCTTGTTTACAAATATTAGAAAACAAAAACTTTATAAGATTTTATGAAATTTTGTGAATATTTGTTCTACATGAATTGTGTGCATGAAATTGAAAACTAATAGTGTTATATGTTCAATTAGAGCCTGATTTAGACCCGGAAACCCAAATATTTTATGAGCCAAGTTTGAGCCTTCAACCACATAGTCCAATTATATGTGAGGTTGAGCTTCTAATCATGAAGTCTAATGGTATTTGAGTACGAGCCTACTAAGGGTCGACTCACATAGCATGATTGCCACCACTAATTTGTATGCTAAAAAATTGGATTATAGACATTTTTTTACTAATATTAATAATAGTAGAAGCTTTGCGTCATTCAAGTGTTCTCGTCATTTTTTCAGTGACCAACTCGGGCTTGGGTGATTATCTTCGGTAGATTTGGGTTTGATTTGTATGCCTCTATGGGCTCGTCGATGTCGGTCTTTGAGTGTGGGCCCGTCATAAGCCCCCCACTCTAGATAGGGCCTCAAGCAGCGATAGTTGATGGAGAGTAGTTAGTGTGCGTGATTATGTTTGGGACATTTGTAATTTGGTTAGTCGATTTTACGGTTCACGGTGGAAGCAACTTTGCAATTGGTGGAAATAGACGTAGGACATTTGGCCACGAATTGGCAGCTCGTGAGAGAATGAGTTGCACAATGATTAGTAGAACG